GGGTGGTCAAGACTTTATGAGGGGGGCAATATACTAGGCCTAATAAAGTAAAATCCTGGGATGCCGCAAGTCAGATTCAAACCCACGCCACTGCAGCAACATCATACATGGGTCATGAGCTCTACCGACTGCGCTAACGTGATGCCAACAATGACAAAAATATAACCTGAACCAACAGAAAGTGACTGGAGCACATAGACCTAAGTTTCACTTTCAGCTTCTTCCCATAATCACTATCGGCCGACTGGGCAAATGCCCGGTATGCCCGATGGCCAGTCCAGCAGTGCCTACAGACACAAACAAGACCATCATTGAGAAGATGGGCTGTTACGATGGTTGTAAAGATTTACAGATACAAGTCAGAAATTGGTTTTAACCATTAACCATCTGTTGGCTGAAGCTTTGCTAAAGACAATTCTTAACACTTACCTGGTGACACCTATGCAGGCGACAAGGAGTCTGTGGATGCTCATACAGCTAGCAGAAGCAAGAACACGGAAGATATTAAACACTTTCCTTTACTTTTGATTATAAATTGGGGGCTCGTCCAGGATACATTTAATTCTGAAATTATTACCCTTTCCTTCCAGGTTTCTCCCCCGAGTTCCTTCCCCTGTTTACGCTAATAGCACTGTTAGCTCTGTTAGGCTAATGGCACTGTTGCGTCTGTTTATGCTAATAGCACTGTTAGCTCTGTTTGTGTGCACAGTTAGGGGGTTTAGTCAAGGCTAGCTGAGGCTATCTCTAGCTAGCTTAAACAGGATATAGCTCTCTTGCTTTAGCCAGCTGTGTAGTTGACTGTTCTATTGTTGTCTTTTGAATTTTGAATTTATATGCAGCTGCATTTTGGCTTTGTAGGACAGAATACACCCAGAGAATAAAGAATCTAATAAGATTAATCTGTATTTGGCTGCAGGACGTTCTGAGCTGTACTGTAATGATAATAATAATATGTTGTAATATTAGAAGAGTAATAAAGCTCTGTTTAAATCCTCTGACTGATGTTCCCAAAAGGAAATATTTAAAGTTCTTTCCATTTTCCAGTAACTGTTCAACTGTTTGTGACTCAGAGTGGAAACGAAAACTGTACGCATCACAGGGAGGAACTGTGACATCATCACTTTCCCATCATTCCTCTGTGTATGTGTGTGTGCGTGTGTGTGTCTGCGTGTGTGTGTGTGCGTGTGTGTGTGTGCGTGCGTGCGTGTTCATGCCCCAGGTTTCTTAGCAGCGAGCGCTCACCGTTAATGTGTTACCACAGCAACCAGACGCCGCTAATGTGTTGTTTATCAGCATCCGAAGAAAGCGATGAAGTTGGAGATGAAGATGACGTCCTGTACTTCCTGCTAGAA